AGAATTGAAACACAAAGGAAGAGGCAAGGCGAGAACATACAAACAATATTTAGTGGATATGATTTTAGACACTATTAATAATGGCGGGTGGATAGTAAATTTAGGCAAAGGTAGAATAGAAGAACTCAAGGCAAGTTTTAAGGGCAAAGGTAAGAAATAATATATAAATAATAATAATAATGATAATATTAACTAAAAATATACTGAAAAGAAAGAAGCAGAAATTAAATGATAAATATGATGACGACAGTTTTACAATACATAACCTAATGAAACCAAACACTTCAACAACAATACAACCACCGAAATTGATGAAAAAGGGCATACCGAGAGAATTTATTGACATTGCAACCAATACAGATACAATCGCCACAGAAACCAGAGAGACTCAAGAAAAGTTATACAATGATGCAAATCAACAATTAAATATGACATTTGAAGCGTTTAAGGTAAAGGAAAACCAAGACAATATGTTTAAAATAATGCTTAAAAACTTTTGGCGCAACACATACAAAAGAAATGAGCCAACAAGAACACAAGCAACACAAACCCTGAAAAACCAACGCGATGCAATGGTGTCAGCCTTTACTACAATGCTTGACAACAACAAACCACCAGAACCACCGCCAAAGAAACCACCAGACGAGGAGGACAGCGATGAAGAAGAAAAGAAGTTCAAACTGACAAAAATGATAGAAATAATGCTACACAACGGCGCTACAGTAGCAGATATAATATTAAACTTATCACATAGCGCAATTGCAACAACAATAAATATCGCAGATTTAGTTAATCAAATAACAGCAGGAAATGCACAAGGTAGCAGTAGCAATTCATCAAATGAAGCTATTAGTGTTCATAGTTCGCCACCTATTACTGTTCATAGTTCTTCATCTGAAAGTCCAACAGAAATACCAGCACCAACTGAAGACGAAGAAGAAGAAGACGGAGAAGAAAAACAAAAATATAATTTTGAAAAATTAAAATCTAAATAATATTATATATAATGGGTTCAAGTAAATCAAAACCAGTAGAAATTGATGATGAAGAGGCTATTAAAGTAATAAAAGATATAGATGTAAATACGATAAGTGAAATGTCAAGAATTGATATTCTACAAATAAATTCATTGAAAGCAATAATAAATAAATTAGAAAAAGTTAATGAATGTAAAAAAGATAAAATATATTATAAATTACCTGCCTTGAATTTATGTAGTTATTCGTTATTTTAAATTTAATAATATTAATAGAAACTAATTAATATTATTAATTGTTATCATAATCTGTCATTTCATCTTCTGGCAATTTCGTTGAGGCATTGCTACATCTATCATCTATTAAATCTTCTTCATCAACAAAATTATTTTGAAATCTTAATAATTCATCGTCTGTTGCCTCTTTTCAATACTTTATAAAGTTTATGTATCCAAGAATTAGTATGAAAATTATAATTACCCCTACGATAAAATCCACCACATCTACATAGTCTCATTGACATATTATTATATTATATTAAATTATAATTTCTTTATTCATCATTTGTAATTTGAAATGCCTGTTCAAAATTGATATGAAACATTTTGTTAATGTCTTTTGAATTCATATTCACGTAGAAAAAAGAATATGGAGCAAAATTAACGGCTTGATGGTACATATCTAATAATTGCTGTTTATCAACAATGGCGCTATTTTCTTCAATAAAACTCATTAATTCACTGGCATTTTTCAACCTAAAAATATATAATGAACTGGCATTTAAACGAATGATAGGCGCTAAAACATTGTATTTTTGTGTTGAACAAATTACACTTACTGCATCGTGCCTGCCTCTTGTAAACAATCCATGTAATAATTTACTATATCTAACAAATTTAGGATCGTCGGCATGATCGTCTATAACGATTAATATTGAATGTAGTTTCTTTATCTTTTTAGACTTCATATAATTAATAATTTTCTTCTGTCTTTCAATTACATTTTCTAAATCACTTGGATTATAATTATCAAAATAAATTTGTTCTTTTTCATCATCCACGTGCAATTCGTCCCTGATGTATTTTTTAACTTCTGTAAATGTAGGGTCGTTATGGACACTGGGTGAAAACATAAATATTCTTGCAAATGAATTTCTATAAACATTCAATATTAAATTTTGAATAAGGACAGTCTTACCGCCTGTCGAAGAAGCAACTATAATACTTCTAAATGGTAATTGTGGCACGTGCTCATATTTAGATTGTTTGAATTCATATTCAGTTATGTTTATTGGTTTTATTATTGGAACATCTGTCATAGTTGATATTAAAGATATATAGAAAATTATATTTAAAAATTAACTTGTAATTAATATTAAATGGAACATCGTTTTTATGATATGCTGGTGGCGAATATCATAAAAATGGAACCGGCTTTTCCATTGCTTCAATCAATAAGCATTGAAGCTAATTAGTTTGATGCGTTGTAAAGAAAACCCCAGTGCTGTGACCTCCAAAATATTCTATCATGCATGAAAATAATAAGATTAAATAACTATTTTATCTTATTATTTATATGAATAGGAGTTATTCAAATTATATTAATATAATAGATGAAGTAGAAAATATAGAACAAGTAATAATTACTGACAATAAAATAAAAAAATGTTGTTATTATTCATTAGAAATAATTAAGTTTGTGATACAATATATCAAAAATAAAAATGTAAATATTAATATAAATGGTGAAAAAGAAAAAGAAAAACAAAAATAAGACAAGTTTAAGTCTATCTTCAACAGAAGAAGATAGCGGAGAAATTGTTAAAGAAACAGCAGTAATTGAGTTTTCTTGTCCGATGTGTAAAAGGATGTTAGAGATGAAAAATGAGTTAGAAATAAAAAATAATAAAAATTGTAAATGTTCATGTATTCCAACAACTTTCAAAATAAGTAAAAATGATAAGAAAATGAATATTGATAAAACTAAAGACAGTATCAACTTAGAAACTGATGTCCATAATATAACTTTTAAATGGGGTAAGGATGCATCACTCTCGGATAATAATGAAAACGAAACACAAGAAACTGTTAAACAAATGATGAAAAATATATAATTAAATAAATAAATATCTAAATAAATATATAGTAATGTCTGAAAATGAGAATTATACTATTAATGATTTAATGAAGAAGATAACATTAATTGGTAACAATATCAAAACCTTAAATGATATGATTAAATCCATTGATGACAAAATGAAACCAGTTGAACGCGAACAACAAAGCAACGAAGAGAAGGAGAAAATCGAAAAGATATTTCAAGCAAAATCAATAGGAAGACCATCGGGCGACTACCCTACAAAGCAAAAGAAATACTGTGATATGTTGAATACAGGAAAAATCAAACAACCAAAGCAACAAACATTAGAGTTTTATAAAATTACAAAACATGATGATGGAGTATATGTATTATTTGAATAATTAAATCTAAGTAATTCTAATAATATGAATTTATTAGAATTATTTAGCAAGAAGACCTATATAAAATACCTAGCGAATTAATTTGTGAAATCTTAGTGAGTTTGACGGATTAAGGATTTTGAGTTTGAGTTTCACGGGCTTTGTGATAAATGTTTCACAGGTTTTGTGATAAATGTTTCACGGGCTTTATGGAAATATTCCACGGGCTTCGTGATAAATGTTTCACAGGCTTTGTGGAAATATTCCACGGGCTTTGTAGACATATTCCACGGGCTTTGTAGAAATATTCCACGGGCTTTGTAGAAATATTCCACGGGCTTTGTGGAAATATTCTACGTGCTTTGTAGAAATATTTTACGGCCTATTGCAATGCTTAAAACCATACTATAATAATAACATTTATACCCTTATATGTTATAATTATATTTCAATATTTATTTTTATTTCTTGTAAAAAGTATTTAAAGAAATAACAACTATATATATTATAGTAAATATGGGATGGACTTTAACATCAAGAGAAACTAAGAATTGTGGATGCGTGGAAGAAACACACGTTCATGATGATTTTCCGACAAGTGATACAAGTTTAACATTATGCAAGGAATGTAAAACTAAACAGGTAGAAGAAGAGAAAAGAAGGGCAGAAGAAAAAGCCCAAATATACAATAAGTTTATTCAGGCAATAAATAATATAGAAACTAAATTAGTTCCGCGAAAAGAAGTATATCCAATTATGTCTACCTATCGATTTCGGTTTAAGCGTTCAACATTCTCAGTATTCAACTATCAGTTATTGAATCATATATTTAAATACCAAAAAATCAGGAATCGATATTACATAAATATTAATGCTGTGCAATTATTTTACGAACATGAGCTTGATAAATATTATTACTTGAATATAAGATAGATTAAAACCATACTATAATAATAACATTTATACCCTTATATGTTATAATTATAATGTAAGTATAGCGTTTTATATATTGAAGATAAAATTCTACAAGGGACACCACGCCTAAACAAATATATGATGAAAGTGATGAAACGAAGGAGGGGAGTGATGTTGTTGCTGTTCTATTTTTTGTCCGAGAAATGGACAAATCGTTTTTAGACAGTTCGATTTTGTTTTTGATGACAAATATTTTTGCAATATATTTTGCAAAAATTATTTTTTTGAAATGAATGAGGTGAGGAGATTGAGGAAATGACATTTTGAAGGGTAGTTGGTGAAATGAATGAGGCGAGGAGGAAGGAGAAAAGGATGGCGAAAATTTTGGAAAAATGATGAGAAAAAAACGGATGAGATGGACAGAAAGGAATGTAGAAAAATGATGAAAACAAATAAGGGTAGAAGATGGAAAATGAAAAAAGTTGTAGGGGGGGGTGTATGTATGAAAGCAATTTATTGCTAGGCAAGGCCCTCGACTACTAATATGCCCCCCAAAACCCAATGCCAAAACCCAATGCTCCCAAAACCCATATTTTTCGGGTCTTCGGCTGACTTCTGGCAGACGTCTCCCCTAACCGCACCAAGGGTCGGATGAAGACGTCCGCCTGCGTGGCGACCTCGCTGAGCGGCTGGCCGGCACGGGCCATGGTCATCACGTTCTGGGGCTGGAAGACCACCTCGGAGCTCTGAAAAATCAGCTGCCAAATTGGCGGTTTGGAGCCGAAGCTCAGCTACCCCCCCCCCCCGGAAAAGAATGAAAGGAAGAAAAAAAAGACGGGTCTTTCCTGATGGTTTCCCTTTGAAACCAACCAAAAGGGGCAACCAACTCACAACTCAAAAGCAAATGAATCCGTCTTGTTTGAGGCTCGGTACCCGCCGTTTTGGTTGGTTTCTAACTGAACCTCTATGTTTAAGACAATCCCAACAGCGTTCACTCAGGTTTCTCTAGAAGGTTCCATGGCCCAACCAGCGCTTGGCTCTTCTTCGCCCCCTCCGCCTTGGATCTTAGT